CCTGTATATCTCATTCAATTTTCACCGGATCATCTTAAAATTTTGTAAACATTTTTCTGACAACAAAAAAATCGATTCTTTGACAGTTACAACTGCGAGTGCCCCTTAAAAGTGCCTAGATTTTCAGGCGTTTTCTAACAGTGTATAATTATTACTGAAACGTTATCTATAGAGCTTCATATATAAATCTAAAGTATGACTATTTATTTGACTAATTTTACGAATAAATAAGTATAATTGTGGAAAGGGGTAAAATAGCTAGTTTCGGTCGTTGGAAAGGGTAAAAGTTTGAAATAATACCCCCACCGGAAGACTGTGCTATTTTACCCCTTCCCACATGTGACCGTCTAATCGCTCAACTCTTTCTCTCGCTAGGTCCTCTCTGTCTGTGCGTCAGATATGGGTGATTCTCCGCATAGCGCACGATTTGGTGTCTCAAACTTTAAAAATATATTTTTATCGAAATGATAAATATCAATACATATTTTTGAAGATAAAGTGTCAAGAAATAAATATCTATGGTGGGCCGGAAAAATTGTTTATAATTTTTTAATTTCTTTAAAATAAATTTTAAAAAAATTATTTTTTTTAATTCTATAAAACAGTTGAAATATCATTTAAAATGTTTATGGAAATTTTTGGGGTAATTCACAAAAATATATATAGCGCGAACGACAATTAAAATTTTTTATTTTGGTAATTTACGGAAATTTTCGAGGTAATTTATGAAAATTTATGCGATAATTTACAAAAATATATATAGCGCGAACGACAATTAAAAATTTTGATTTTGGTAATTTATGGAAATTTTTGCGGTAATTTATAGAAATTTATTTAGTAATTTATAGTAAACTTACCGGATCTATGATAGTTTATAATAAAGATTTTTAATTTCGTTTGTTTCACTGTAGTATTAAACTTGCACTAGTGACAGTGGAAATTCTGATGCCGGTGGAGACGCTGGGGTCGGTGGAACCGGCGTTAATAATTTTCTTTTTTCGCCATTGACATGAAAAAGTGTCTTTTTTGTGCCTGTTTTGGGCAGATAAAGTAGCACTTTTTAAGGCAGTTTGGGCCAACTGCCTAAAAAAGACTTTTTTAGGCAGCAAACTGCCGTATAAAGTCTTTTTTAGGCAGTAAACTGCCCTATAAAGTCTTTTTTAGGCAGTTGTTAATTTTTGCATAATTTTTTTTTTTGCTTTTATTTTATTTATCAATTTTTATTATTTTTTTTCTTTAAAATTGTTTCACTTTTTCATAACAATGGCGAAAAAAATAGCGTATGTGGCTCGCACGTAGTAATTTTTAGGTTCGGATGATTTCAATACTCGCTGTCTGTGCGACTTCGGTTCGACTCGGCTCGCTTTCGGCTCGACTCGACTCGCCTTCGGCTCGTCTTCATCTCACCTACAGCTCGCCTTCGTCTCACCTACGTCGCACTAACGACAGCTCGTACTGAAAATTACATCCTCACCTAAAAAGTACTACTTTACGTGCTTGCCACATAATATACTATTTTTTTTTAAAGAAAATTATCATTTATTTTTATCGCTTTCATATGTTTCACATTTATATGGACTAAAATAATATAACTACACTTTATTTAACATTTATTATTTCATTATTTTCTTTTTTTAAAAAAAATATTGAAGGGTCGGTGGATGCCGGTGAAGACGATTTTGTGATGCCGAAAGTAACTATTGGTAATGTTTTAAAATGGTTTTGCATGGATTTGCCCTACTTAGGGCGAAACTTGCCAGGACCATGAGAGTTTTTCTGAAAATTACTCTATATTTTGTGTCAAAAATAAGCCATCAGTACACATCTTACTGGTTTCAGTGGAAAGTGTACTACAGGCTTAATCAGTTGTGAAAAGTAATTGATTGAATCAGAGAACAACAGAAACTTATATACTGATTCAATCAGTTGAATACGCAATTCTAGCCCGACAAATGATCCCAAATTCGACCCAACTTCAAAGAGGTAGTATTAGCAACACTAAAAAAATTAAATATGGCATTTCCCAGTAAAAAAACTAATTCAGATGAATTGACTTTTTTGGCAAGGTCCAATTCGTATTTGTCGCTAAGCTAGATTCAGTGAAGCTCTTTGTTTATTCAATTTGTACTGGGGGGTCGTCCATATACCACGTGGACAATTTTTAATCACTTTTTGACCCTCCCTCCCCCCTCGTGGACTTTTGGTGAACCCCCCTCTCCCCCCCAATGTCCATGAGGACTTCTTTTGGTCAAAAATAATAATTTTGCTATGTTATGAAAAATTATAACTATTCAGTCGGATTCTTATCTTAAAATGGTAAATAAATAGTTATTTAATAATTATTAGAAATATTTAATCATTTTTTAGAAGATATGATAATAAAGTTTATTCTTAATATCTTTGCTAGTATCAAGATATCTTTGGCAGAAATATCTTAAAAAATACATAATCTTTTTGGTACCAAATTTTTAAATGATAAATAACGATTTATAACGATAAATCTAATAATCTTCATTGGATATTTGATCAGAACTGTCTTCGATGATCCATGGTTGTGTTAACCATTATGAAAGATTATCAACTGCAGCAAAATAAAAGTCACTTTTTGAACTTAAATTATTTTTATTCTCCATCTCTATAAAATAAAATTTTTACTTAGTCCACGTGGACATTTACTTTGACCTCCTCCCCCCACGTGGACAATCGTGGATTTTTGGCGAACCCCCCCCTCCTTCTCAAAACTGTTCACGTGGTATATGAACGACCCCTGACAAATTGAAAAAAATTAAGTCTCAAAAGTTTGTTCATTAAATTAGTACAAATAGAGAGTTTGGAAGTTGAATACAGCTTTGTCGAATTCAGGAGAATTGCAACATAGCTATAATTTATTTTTAATGTTAAATAATTTATTTAACATGTAAATCAACATTTTTAATTTTTTTTAAACTTATGAACATAATTTTTCTTATTATCTAAAATTAATTTTATTAATTTTTATTTCTTAAGCATTTAAAGTATATTTCAAACATGTTTAACAGGATTTAAAAACTGTATTGCTTATATAAAAAAGAAATAATAAGACTAGGTGATATATAAAAATTTTAGAGTTCTTGAAATTTAACTACATACTTAAGTTTTATAACAGATTAATAAGCAGCTTGTAACAAATGTTCTACAAAACTATGTCCTCACTGTTATAGAACATTTATAGAACAGATAATATAGTAAAAAAAAGACAAATAAATTTTAGTTTTTGTTAAGAAAAAATCACTTATTTCTTTTGAGTTGCTGATCAAATTCTTATACTAAAATTTTTAAATTAAAATTTTGTGTTAAAACATTTTCCTTTCTTAAAAAAGACAGTGCATGCAAAGCACATGAAAATGTATCGAAATATGTCGATGGTCGAAAAAATCGAATGTAAGAAAAAATGAACTTTGCTTTCCAGAGCATCTAAATCAATATTCATTTTATAAAAATCACCTTAAATTATTGTTCCACATATATATTTTGCATAACTTACTTAATTGCAATAAATATACACTTGCAAAGTATTTATTTGTTGTAAACATTTGCAGCTGTCATGAATCAGACACGAACATAACCTACATTTAGTTCAAATCACTTCATTGGCTCAAGACAAAATAGCGCGCGCTTTTTTAAAATAATGAAATTGATTAAATTATAATAAAATAATTGTAATAAATTAAATTATTACGAAAATAATATTACCTTGAATAAAAAAGTGTTTTTAGTTTTAAAAAAAAATTATTCAACAATTATTATTATTTTTAGATAAATTTTACAAATATAATAGATTATTATTTTTCTCTTTAAAACTTTTTAAATGCCTTTTTGCATTTTGTTAACAATATTATTAAATATTTAATAAAATAATTGTAATAAATTATGAAACATAAATTGAAAATTAAATTGAATGGACAAAGAATAGAAGCAACAGAGACGGCCAAAGGCCGTCAGAGGCATTAGTAAAATAAAATTTAATTTTTATTGAAAAATGTCTTTTTTTGATATTTTTCGACATTTAAACCACTGTAACTTTTACAATTTCATTTTAATCAAAAAATTTTACAAAAAAAAGGTGTTTGCTTCCTCCTGAACTATAAAGCTGTGTAGTAAAAAATTTGTTTTTTGAAAAAATTGAAATTTTGAAAATCCCGCAGTTTTAAAATTTTTTGATGAAAATTTTTGCCTTGTATTTTGACATTAACCTGGTGTGTGCAAAATTGCAAGTCGATTCGCTTCAATTTACAAAAGTTATTGTGTCAACAACATTTTGCGTCTACGTACATACATACAGACACATAGACAGACACTTTCGCCGGACCATGATTTTTCGATTCAGGGCTCCTCAAAACCTAAAGATTTTATGGAAATAGAAAAAATCAATTTTCGAACAATTATAATACCTTCTCATGTGATGATAATGTAAAAATTAACTTAATTAATTATTTTTTTGTACTTTTTAAAAAAATTAATAATTTATAATATTTAATTATTTATAAATAATAAATTTATTATTAAATTTAAAATTTAATAAAAAAATTTAATTTTATATAGTTTTATTTGGTGTTAAAAATTACTTTTTATTTTGAGGTTATGTCATCATAAAACCACGACTAAACCGAGTTAATCTGGGAAATGCCAGACTTGTAGAATACCTGGCAAGGGCCATGAGAGAGCCTTACTTAAAACAGAACTAAGTAGGGAAATTTCTGCACTAATTTTACTTATCTTTTTAAGTAATATTTATTTATATGCCCGTATGTATATAAACTAATCTGTCAATTTTAACACTAGACGTTTCTATCGTCGACTTTACAATTCAAAAAAGAAGAAATTGAATCATTTTTTTGTGAATGTGTCTATTAGGACGCTTAATTGTAATTAAAAAGAAATAAGTGCAACCAAAATTACTAGAATTTAAATTTTATTTGAAATATTTATATAATTTAGAAAATTCTGTTCCTTGATTACAGAACCAAAACCGGTCGAAGAGGATCCCGATCTAAAGGAATTACAAATGTGGGCCACATAAAACGTATTTCAACCAGCTTAGAAAATATTTGTGGAGCTACTTTGTAAAATTATAATTTTAATATATCTTTCAGGATAATCATATAAATAATTAAACATTATTTTTTTATCGACATTAAATTTTTAAATATATTACTACTTAAGAAGTAACCTGTGAAGAAAACTTTTACTTTTATTTGATGTTTATTACATAACATCGGACCATGTGCTACTTTATTATAAAACGCAAGTCAAATAGTTTAGAATGTCCCAATTCTTATTTTCACATTGTCTTATTCTATGATTTTAGTATTGATTCTAACTAAAAAGTAATTAATGATGTCATGAATCCTTACGACTACGAATTTTATTCTGTTTTGGAAAATAAACAGTTTTGGAAATGAATGCTGTATTTATATTCTATTACTTATGAATATCTTTTTATCTTATCAAACATTTTATACTCTACTAAAAATGAATTCTGGACAAGTCTGAATAAAGGTTATCAGCCCCGCCCTCTGTTGAACTTCACCTCCAGATTCTGACTATTTTCTTAACCACTCTTAACTTTTCTTGGATTAACAGTTTTCAAGGTGAGTAAATATCACGAAGTAGTATAAGGAGACGTAACGCCCATAGTAGATTGTGGTGAAAGTGAGCCCCAAAATCGTGTCCTAGAGTTTACGCATTTTTCTAATAATGCAATGAGGACGCCGCGCGTGGAGAAATAGAGAATTAAAATTTATCACGTGCTCGCATGTGCTGACAAATTGTCTTGAACCGGTGTTTCGCGCTTGCACTTTGTGCTTTGTTAACCCTTTCAGTCACGCAATTCAGATAATAACTAAAACATTCAAAATGCTATTGTATTTATGGTTTTTGGGGTCGCTGATTACGAATATGAAGTCAGATTTGCAAAATATTAAAAATTCAAAATGGCGGATCCAACATGGCGGATAATTTTTTTAAAATCATTCTAATTTTCCTGAAATTTGTTACTCGGGGGTTTTCGGGGTCGCTGATTACGAATCTAAAGTCAGTTTTAAAAAATTCAAAATGGCGGATCCAATATGGCGGACGACAAAATTAAAAATTCATCCCATCGGCATGAAACTTGTTACTCGGTGGTTTTCGGGGTCGCTGATTACGAATCTAAAGTCAGTTTTTAAAAATTCAAAATGGCGGATCAAATATGGCTGACGACGAAATAAAAAATTCATCCCATCGGCATGAAATTTGTTACTCGGGGGTTTTCGGGGTCGCTGATTACGAATCTGATGTCAGTTTTTGAAAATTCAAAATGGCGGATCGAATATGGCGGACGACGAAATTAAAAATTCATCCAATCGGCATGAAACTTGTTACTCGCCATATTGGATCCGCCATTTTGAATTTTTAAAAACTGACTTTAGATTTGTAATCAGCGACCCCGAAAACCCCCGAGTAACAAGTTTCATGCCAATTGGATGAATTTTTAATTTCGTCGTCCGCCATATTAGATCCGCCATTTTGAATTTTTAAAAACCGACTTCAGATTCGTAATCAGCGACCCCGAAAACCCCCAAGTAACAAGTTTCATGCTGATTAGATGGATTTTTTAAAAAGTCGTCCGCCATATTGGATCCGCTATTTTAAATTTCGCAAAATTCGTAAATTTTGCAAAAATTTTGAAAATATAACATCGATTTTGTAAATATTCGTAATCAACGAGCTCAAAAACTCCCAGGAAATAATTTTTTAGCGAGTCCGATTAATTTTTAATTTTTTCATGCGCCATATTAGATCCACCATTTTCAATTTTCAAAATTTTTCAATTCTGATATTATATTCGTAATTTGCGACCCTTAAAACCCCTAGTTAGTGATTGTCAAGCAAATATGATGGATTTTTATATTTTTTTCAGCCTTACCAAAAGGTGGTTAATATATTGACCACTGTGACTGAAAGGGTTAATGTTATCAGTGAAATGTCATGTTTTATAAAAGGATGTGGATCAAAAATAACTACAAAAGAAGAAAGAAATGGAGAAAATCGAAGTTTTTTTTCGGCTCGAACAGTATTTAATTTTTATTATTTATTATTGTTTTATTATTGTTAATATTATATCATTAGAGTTTTAATTATTTCCGATGTGTTTTTTATTTTTTAATGCTTTCCTATTATAGAATGAAAGTTTGTTAACTTGGTCGAGTGTTATTGTTGGCATTGGAAAAAAACCAAAATTGACAAAAAAGGATAAGATATGTGATTTGCACTTTGTGGAATCAGATATTCTGAAAGATTATATCACAAAGTTACCTGATGGTAGTGAACACAAAATAAAACGAGGTAGATATGACCTTGTAAAAGGAGCAGTGCCGTCAATATTTACTCATCAGTTAAAAGAAAAACAGTGTCTTTTAGAAAATGAAAGGCTTCAAGATTCGCTGAAAAATTTGGAAAAACAAATGAAAGCTGGAAATGCTTTCAATGTAATTTCTGAAAATTTTCAACGGATAATACCAAAAGGCCTGTGATATGCTACGACTGCCAAAGTAGTTTAGTTTTATCAGAGAATGCTGAAATACCCGAAAGACACAAACTTATCAATTTAAAAACAAAAGGTTTTTTGAAGCATCCATCTCTTGATTTATTCGATTTGATTTCTATTCTCGAGGTTGCAACATTAGCTACCATTAAAGATAAAGATGTTAATGTTGACAGTATATTTCAAATCACTGAAGCACTTGACGAATTATGTCCAATACCCTTTGTTGGTTGCAAAGAACACTCTCCTGTGTTAACGAAAAAAGTTATTACTTTTTACTTGACCATGAGAATGTTTTTCATTACAAAGCAATATAATAAAATGCATAATCGCAGTCGAGAGTTGACAAGAGAGAAAAGAAAGACAGCTAAATTATCTGAAGAAAAGAGAAAAGAATTAAATGTGGTTGATAAGAGTAAACAAAACTGTTGCGACGTTTCCAATAAAACGGGATTTAAAAGGAAACGGCCCAGAAAAAGAAAAAGCTCTGTACTTCAGCCCAAACGAAAAAAAAAAAAGTTTCTTGAAATTTCAAAGAAAAAAAAACAAATGAAATAAAATAAAGCACCACTTGTTTAAGGCATTTACTTAACTGTGATAATATTTAAAGGAAAGTGATATTAATTGTTTGTTTAATTAATAGACATTTATAAATCGGACTGCAGATATTCATTCGTTTAAAGATTATATTTGTATCTTTTATATTTAATTTTACCGATGTAAATATGATGTAGGGTAACTGCACCAGTGGTGGATTAGTTAAGCCCCTTAACTTTCTTGTTTTGACTTTGAAGTTCTGTATAGGTTGCTTTTAGACAAATTCGAGGTTATTCTTTATAGTATTATGGACCAGATAGTTCCAATAGACATTTCCTTCAAGGTTGGACTTGATTTTGACACCTACGTTTACTTTAATGCTCCATCAAAGATAATTTGTCAATGATCCTATTCTGGATCACTGTTTGCACCAGTCATGGTTATAGATTGCTCCAGTGGTGGATGACTTAAAAAATCATACTAAAAACATTGCATTTCAAAATTACGAGACTGAGACGTTATGCAACTTTTATAAGGCTTTACGGACAGATTTTAAAATTCACTTTCCTATCCATATTCCCTCCTCTTTCATTTCTATAGGTATAATGTGACTAAATGTTAATTAATCATCTTTTTATTAGAATTTTTGGTAATAAATAAATAGAAACTCTTAAAGCTTCAGTTTCAATGATAAATAACATTTATTAATTCTGGGTATTTTAATTCAACAAAAATTTGACAATTTGAAATCAGGTGTTAACAATTAATAAACATTTGAATTAGTGTTAACTAAAATTTAACTCATAAAATTTTCAATAAAACAATGCGTCAACAGGCAAAAAGTAGGACTGATCCACCACTAGATTTTGTTACTTTTTTGGTTCCAGTCGTGGATCACCCGAAAAGAATGGACACGCGCTACTTACAGACGTAAATATTGTTCTCAGGGCTCTATTGGGATGAAACGAAATGCCTCCTATTGTGAAAAGAATTAAAAATTGCCCTAAAATGGCTCCAAAGCTTTCTATTCCAAAATATACTCTTAACTTACATGCTAAGGAAAACTCTTGTTTTCTAGTACCACTTTAGTAATTGTTGTCCTGCTTTCTTCGCGATGAATTTAAAAAATTTTTTAAATTGTAATATTGATCTGTATAACTTTCTTAACAATTACCGACACTTGCGGTTCATTTACTTACAAACGTGTAAACACAAATGACCATTTTTCTCGCAGTTGATCCACCACTGGTGCAGTTACCCTATATATAGAGAACTGAAAAAAAGATTATCTTTTTAAAACTAAATTAATAAATAAAAGAAAATTTTACTCTGATTAAGTCATTTTTATACTTTTTTATGTAACAGCACAGATAGCGATGAATTAATAAAATTGTACAGTATACAGTATACAAGTATTATAAGTACATTTGTTATATAAAAAACGTTAATCTTTAACATTTATTTGATTATTCTAATTCGTCAACAGCTTTTAATAATGAAATTAAGTCATCCACAGATTCGATTCTCACAAACCTTGAAAAAGGATGAATTTTTTTATTTATAATAATTTTAATACTTAAATCGCTATACAAAACAACTCTTTTTATTACACTCGCCTTATCATCATTCTCTAATTTCAAAAAAGCAAGGAAAGATTCATTTCCTTTAATGTAGCACCACTTTTCTGATGGCAATTCTATCATACTTAAATTGGTTTTGCAAGTTGTAAAATTGAATGTTGTAAAATCCATATTTGGCTTCAGCAACTACATTCTATATTTATTATTTTATTCTCCAAATATTTAATGAATAACCTAAAATAAAGTAATATTTATGATAAATGTTGTAATTTTAATCTTCAAAACATAAGTTATTTATTAAATTCTTAATGAAAAACGTACCTTTCATTTACTTTCACTAATATTTAATATTTCACAATATTTATTTATTACACAATATTTTATCAAAACCACTTCGTGATCAATACACTTTTGCTGTCAACTACAGTTGTTTACGCGATAGCAGACGACATATTTTGATTCCGATTTATCTCAGTAGAGGCGCTACAAGAGCATTATTCGAAAACCTTAGTAACTCTAGGACACGCATTTGGGGTTGCTTTGAATGCATGGCGTTACGTCTCCTTATACTACTTCGTGATAAATATACACCTTTTTACAATTTTACAATAAACCTTTAACAGCAAAACTGCCCTTGTTTTGACAATTGAAATATGTTCTATTTTCTTCTTACACTATTCTTGGAAAACTTTTTTTGTGATTTTTACATCAATCGTTACCGTTTAAAAATTAAAAATTACCCTTATATCCAAAACAACCCC